AAAAAAAAATAGCTAGTAAAGGACAGAGCCAGGATTTACACTCAGGTCTGTTGATTACAAACTGTCAACAGATCACTGTGCAAACTGTCTTTCCTTTCTATCTGCTGCTGAGAAGAAGAGTAATTGGTAACAGGGTCCTATTACCTTTAAGAGTGCAGGGCCAGGGCCATCTGGCTCCAGAGAGAACTATGCTTCTAACAAAGAGGCATTTAATGAAAACCTGGTGGTTGGTTCATTAGTAGCCTGTCTGAAGCTGGAGCCTTCCCTAGTGAGCTCATCCATTTCCACTGGTAGAATCTATGAGACTTGTCCCTGGGCTTTATTGGTGTTGAGAGAGGGGGCAGGAAGGAGTGGAAAGATGGAAGTGTCTATTTTATTTAGTATGGAAATTGAGCATTCTAATGGTAGTGAAATAAAGTGATAAAAAAAAAAATGGCACACTGCGAGAGTCCAGATAGGGAGACAAGAAAGGGCCCTCACCTGCAAATCTCACTTGGAATGTTCAGATATACCAATGGCTGCCTAAATACCTGCTAGGGGCCAGCTCTGTGATGCAGTCAGTGGTGAAGAGCTGCTTAATAGAGGTTGGACCCTGCGTGGTGACTGTAATTCAAATCCCCAGCTCGATGAGCCTGAAACACTCTGGGCAAACATGTGACTGGAGGACGGAACTAAGGGTGAGCGAGGCATGACCAGACCTGGGGAGGGTGCTCATATCTCTCTCCCTCTCATGCACTTTATCATAAAGAAAGAAAAAACACACTTGCTTAAAAAGTCACAAGATCTTCTGAGGAGAATCTTAAAATTCTATCCAATATCAGAAAGTATTACTCTGTTCTTAATCAGAATAGGGAATGGGAGGCCGTCTCAAAACTGGGGCAGAGTTTGGGTAGGGCAAGCTATCATCGGTCATTTCACACAGCTTGAGGATTTGAGGGGTCTGAATTCAGTCCTTCCTACATGGGAAGTTGAGGGGATGCTTTGGAGAGGCCTCTCAGAAGCCCTCTGTGGAGGACTCATCTTTAAAAACAAAAAAGGTCAAAAAGAAAACCAAAAGAGCAGACTTGAGGGGCCCTACTGAACTCTACAGAGCCAGATGTACAGTAGTAAAACACAATGTTCTGCAAGCTGACCCACGTGAGGAAATTCTGGGTTCATATCTGGAGACCTCCCTGAGTACACCAGGCACATGTGTGCCCATGATGTGGGATTGGCTGAAGCTGGGTCAACCTCACGACTCTTTTTTTTGGGGGGGGGAGGGGGAGGGTGCTGTCTCTATCTCTCTTATCCATGGAAGTAATA